GTAGCATAGTTGTATGGAGAGCACTATATAAGTGCAAGTTGTTGTTGACACGGGTGAGATTCCTGGGCAGAGCGAAACCTTAGGCAAGTTTCCTTACTCCATACACCTCTGTTTACCTAGCATTAAGTAGGATTCTGGTTGTTAGTTGGTTAGTGAATCGCTTTCTAGGATAATAAGCCCTCCACAAAAAAATTGGGTCACTCAATTCACGGCTGTTTGTGGGACCACTGCTGTGTGCAATTGGCTGCCGCAGTTCACCCATAAATAAACAGTCAATCCGCCTAATAATATATTCTGTGAAGCGCTTTGAGACGTCTCAACAACATGATAACGCACTATATAAGAACATAAGAACATAAGAATTAGGAGCAGGAGTAGGCCATTCGGCCCTTCGTGCCTGCTCCGCCATTCAATAAGATCATGGCTGATCTTCTCACCTAACTCTGATTACCTGCCCTATCCCCATATCCCCTAATCCCTCTATTTTTCAAGAATCTATCAGTCTCAGTTTGCCTGAAAGGCTGGTGGAAGCCGATTCGATAACAGCTTTTAAGAGACAAGTAGATAATAATTTGGGGAGGACAAGTTTGCAGGGCTATGGGAGCGAGTGGAGGAGTGGGATTGAATTGGATAGCTTTTTTCAAAAAGCCGGCAGACATGATGGGACAAATGGCCTCTTTCTTTGCTGTATAATTCTATGATTCTATGATACATCAAATGCAAGGAGTATTATTATTATTACAAGATGTAACATTGCTGTTAGCGGTTCGAACGTGCCGTGTATAAAGAATACAGTCTCAAGCCCCGGCTATTAGAGTGAATCGTCAAAGCTTTCCTCCACGCCACACAGTGATTTTCACTCACGGATCTTGGACAGAGAGCAGAGAGCATAAAAATGGACTTTCAAGATTCAGCTTGAGGATCCTAATTCTAACAAAGTGTCCCATTTTACAGGCAGCATCCCCAGGGCCCGCCAGAGGATAGTGGTAGTGAAGGGCTTCTGTGCTGTGCTCTGAGCATCTCAACCTTGTATGTAATTCTCTCTCATGCTCTGCCTCACTCTGTCACCTTCAATCGAGAGGATATGGCACTTGGTGCAGTAATAAACGGAGCCGCCTGAGTGTGTCCACAGACACTGAATATAACTTGTCTCTCTGCTTTCTTACAGCAAAACCTTCCTTCCTCCTACGATCTGTTCAACTGGTTCGGAAATCTGATGGTCAGAAGGTCTATTTCCTCTCTCTTCAGCCCTCTGCCCCCAAATTCCTTCTTACTTTATATAATCGCTCCCCATTTGTAACGGACATTATGGATTTGTTTCCCTATAATCAGGCATAATGTAACAAAATGGTTGTCTCCAACATCAGTTCCTGCCTGCCGTGAGCGCACAGTTAATGTCAGGAACCAGAACCAGATGGGCACTCACCGATCCAGAACTGTCGCTTTGCTGCAACTCTGCTGTGAAACAGAATCAAGTTCTGGGAGAGACGAAGGGATGAAACTATGCCAAATAATAGCCTTAAGCTCAGTGTTCAAAAACATACCAATTGACATGCTCACTCTTTGCGGAATGTTGCTGTGCGCAAATTGGCTGTCGCGTCCACCTACTAAGTACACAGTCACTACACTTTACAGTAAATGCCGTGAAGCGCTTCGAGATGTCTTGACAACATGATAAGGCGCTGTATCAAATATCAAAGGATTATTTTTTATTATGACAGTATCTGCTATTGAAATGGATAATCTTAAAAAGAACACACAGAAATCTGACACAGTATCTTATTCTCTCTTGGAAACTCTTCTACTGTATATAATCTGCAAATCTGGCTTTAGGTCTTGCACAATCTATTGACTATGACAATGCTCCAAAGGGCAAGATGATTATTCTCCAACGGTTATCCCACAACGCACACTGTGGGGACCCCCAATCCTTGGCTCTCACTAATCTGTTCTCTGTACTTTAGGTGAGCAGTGGTGAATGGAGTTCCAGTGACTGGCCTGGAGTTCCAGTGTCTGGGATGGAGTTCCAGTATCTGGGATGGAGTTCCAGTGTCTGGGATGGAGTTCCAGTATCTGGGATGGAGTTCCAGTGTCTGGGATGGAGTTCCAGTGTCTGGGATGGAGTTCCAGTGTCTGGGATGGAGTTCCAGTGTCTGGGATGGAGTTCCAGTGTCTGGGATGGAGTTCCAGTGTCTGAGATGGAGTTCCAGTGTCTGGGATGGAGTTCCAGTGTCTGGGATGGAGTTCCAGTGTCTGAGATGGAGTTCCAGTGTCTGGGATGGAGTTCCAGTGTCTGGGATGGAGTTCCAGTGTCTGGGATGGAGTTCCAGTGTCTGGGATGGAGTTCCAGTGTCTGGGATGGAGTTCCAGTGTCTGGGATGGAGTTCCAGTGTCTGGGATGGAGTTCCAGTGTCTGGGATGGAGTCCCAATGTCTGGAACGGGCACAAGAGTGCACACTCCATTCCGGACCCTAGGATATTCACACTCACAATAGTCTCTCGGTAGTTTGTTGACTTACAGCTGGACACCGTCTGATCAGATTACCACTAACAAAAGCTTTCCTTGCTTTTCTACATTCATACAGCAAAGGTCCAGTGACTGAATGGTCACTGCGGTGACTCTGATTTCACACTAAACAACCAGGCACCTTCCACATCGGGCACTGTCATTCCTTTCCATTCTTTTGTAAGGAAAGAGTTAAAATAAAATGTGAACACCATACTGACAAACACCGTGACCTTGACTCTGTTTACCAGGAATGTGCCTTCTGATAAGGAGAATTGGAAAAAAAACATTTGGAAGGAAATATTTTAGTTGGTATCCATCACATGCACACTTGGTGGTCTGATAACTGCTGGTAAACATTCCCTAAAGCACCAGGCCTATGAGCTTTAAACACAAAGGGTGTTCGAACTCCTTGATTAGTCTGGGCTTTACACAGAAAATGGATAGTTCAGTCAAAAACAATCTGATGCAGATCTGACGGACTCCCAGCTGCTCTCCTAGGGATCAATACTTATCCTCTAAAATAAAAACAGAAGTCGCTGGGAACACGCAGCAAGTCAGCAGCATCTTCTGAGACTTGGTTGCTACTAATTTATGGCGTCTCGTGATAGTGCTTCAATGCTCTCTGTATAACTATTGATTGTTGAACTGTAATATGGGAAACAATTGTTTAAAATCCAAATTGCGGGTATTATTTAATAATAAATACAAAGTTTCCTTCCATTTTGTCCATCCAAATCCAATTACATAGCACAGAAACAGGTCACTTGGCCCAACCAGTCCGATATCTGTGTTTATACTCTACACAAGTTCTCCACTCCTCCCACTCCCATGTAGAATTATACAGCACAGAAAGGAGGTCATTCGGCCCATCGTGTCTGTGCCTGCTCTTTGAAAAGAGCTTCCAAATCAATCCCACTCCCCCATTTTCCCACTTTCTAGGTACGTAGAAATTTATGGCACAAAATAAATAAAAATTTATTTGGCCCATCGTGTCTGTGCCAGCTCCCTCAAGAGCAATCCTTTCAGTCTATCCTTCAGGCCATTCCATGTCCTAACCATTCTGTGTAAGAAAACATTTCCCGTAACCTCCCCATTTGCTCGTTTTACTATCTTAAATTAATACCCTCTAGCTACTGAATTACCAGCCAGTGGAAATAGTTTCTCTCTATTGACTATCAAACCCCTCATCATTTTAAAGACCTCTATCAGGTGACGCCAAGTTCCCCTGCTCTTCCATTCCTTTTAATATTTTACCACCCCAACATATACTTGTTCTCCATGTTCTTCTTCCCAAAATGTATAATCTCACATATGTCTGTCGAGCCTCCTGAACGCCCTATTCAAGAGTCCTGTAGCTCAGTGGTTAGAGCACTCGCCTCACAAGCGAGAGACCTGGGTTTGATTCCCGGCAGGGCGAAACACTGGGCAAGTTTCCTTATTCCATACGTCTCTGCTTACCTAGCAGTAAGTAAGAACCCAGGCTTTAGTCAATTGCTTTTCCAGGGGTAATAATCCCTTCAAAAAAATAATAATAATGAATCGGTAATTTCAATCCACGACTGTGGGACACTGCTGTGCACAATTGGCTGCTGCATTTCGCCCACAAAATATACAGTCAATTCACTTTACAGTATATTCCGTGAAGGGCTTTGAGATGTCTTGAAGACGTGATAAGACACTATATCAAATGCAAGGATTATTATTATTATTATATCTGTGACTGGCTGGTTCATATTTGTGTCCTCTTGTTTTGGGCTCATCCACAAGTGAAAACAGCCTATTAAATCCACTTATTTTCCCAATGTTGTGAAATAAACATAAACAGAAATGACTCTTACAAGAGCTGTCTGACTCATCTGAGCACATTTGCTTAATCGCTTCACTTGGTTTGAGCTTTGAGATGTCTCCCTGATGTGAGAGGCGCTATATAAATGTAAATTGTGTTGCATTGTATTGGTTAATTATATAAGAAGCAATGGCCTTGACATCACCCACAAGTGAGGCTGACAGCAATCAGCCTCAGGATTGATAAATAACTGAACGTGGAGAGCGGAAAGTGTTTTTTTGTTTGATGCAAGTGTTTCGATGGCGCTCTCACTGAGCGAGCTCTGTGCTTTAGAGAAATGGTATCCCATTGTTGAGATTCGCCTGCTCGGGGGGGGAGCGCTGCCCTGTCAGAGCTGCCGTCCTTTGACTAAGGTTGAGGTTAAAGATCCCATGACAATACAGTAAACTCCTGATAACTCATCGCTCCAGGGAGCAAAGGCTCAGTGACGAGTTATCCAGAATGGTGAGTTTCTGTCTCCCAGTGTCCTGATGTTCGTTTGTGGGACATTGCTGTGAGCAAACTGGCTGCCGAGTTCACTCACAAAATGCAGTCAATTCGCTTTACGGTATATACTGTGAAGCGCTTTGTGACGTCTCAACGAAAGGGGAAGTTGTGTGTGTGCGCAGGGGTTGCGGGCAGGGAGGAACAGACTGCTTCACCAACCTTTTCCCAGGTGCGTTCTTTGTTCAAGACGATGACCACGAGCTTGGGGTTGGCCTGATAACCATCACGGGTGAAGGAGAGATCTCGCCCGTCCCAGGAAATGTTCATCATAAACCTGGAGAGCAGCAGAGATCAGCGTGCGGTCAGTGAGAGCACAGAAACATTGCTAACTAACGCCAGACCGGACACTATAAACCACTCCACTCGAAGCTTCTCAGGCCCTGAAAAATAATTAACGGTATTTTAATAACTGTGTGTCAGCCTTGGCACAATTGGCGACTGTGTTTCACCCACAAAATACACAGTCTTTACAGTACGTCCTATGAAACGAGATGATGAGGCGCTATATCCAATGAAAGGTTTATTATTAAAACTCCGCGCTGGCACGGGTACGAACAATTAATGTGGCGACAATAAAAGGTGCTATTTTTTTAAAAATTATTATTTTATTTATTTTGTGCTCTACCTCGGGAACCATTCAAATCGATTCATCGACATTGTAAATAGGGAAGTGCAGTCAGCTCAGAAGCTCTTTTATTAATGATAATCCCTGCTTTGAAACACCCATAATTGCGATGACCTTTCATGTTGCTGCCAAACACTCTAAATTTGTTGTCGTACACAAGATCTTCAACGGGACTGTGGAAGTGAACCCAGAACAGACCAACAAGGGCACAGGTTCAGCCTCAAGATGACATGAGGACAGTCACCAGGGAGTATTTATTAACACAATTTACGACTGGGATTGGGTTACCAGGGAAAGAGGCTTTGACCTCACAGTCCAGTCGAGCCGTTCCAGTGCAGGGCTGGGGAAGCACTGCATTGTCACCGAGGTGCCGTACTTCAGGTGAGACATTTAACTGAAAAAAATGAATTACTCTATAAAATACACAGTCGCTCCAATTCACAGAAAATCCTGGGTTGCGATTTGATATATATCCACACTGTGAAAAGGCACTCTATCATATACAAGGATTATTATTATTATTATTATTATTAAGGGTGGTTGAGGCGAGGACACTGGGACTCATTTAAAAAGTAGCTTGATGATGTGATGGGGGGACGGAAGGGTGGGTGTTATAGGGAGGGATGAGATCAAAATCAATCGTGCGATATTGTGAATGAAATGCACTTGTGGCACTCATATTATGACGGTTCAGACTATTAATGTGAGCGAGAATTATTCCAGGTTTAAGATGAGGTGACGAAGCTCAAACAAGGAAGGGTTGGGATAGAAGCCCAATGTTAAAGATTTAACAGCTGTCAGTTTCTTCCCATTAATAAATCAATTGAAAATAGTATGTATAGACTGGGACTAGCTCTTGGTTTACAATCTATTTGAGACACAGCTATTTATAAATAAAGGCCCTGTGACTTTTTTAGGGTTTTATTGAGCAGATTTTATTTATTTTGTTGCACTATTGATTGTGTTGTGCAATCAAAGAACTTTTATTGCCGGAGATCATTGCTTTCTTAACATTTAAGGTTAAGAGCATGTATATTATGGTTGCAAGATCGAGGCTCTCCTGATTGGCTCGCCCAGCACCTCCGCACCGCAGGCACTGGCAGCATTAGCATCTATGGATGCACACTCCACCTTAGTAAGCCAGTCAGGAAACTGGGCGTCAACTGTCCTTTCTCCCCCAAATCTGTGCCATGACCCGCTCTACCTTCCCTCACCTCCACAACATTGCCCGACTCCACCACTGCCTCACCCTTCAGACTGCCGAAACCCTCATACATGCCTTATTACCACCAGGCTCGACTTTGCTAACACCCTGCTTGTCGGCCTTCCCAACTCTTCCCGCCACAAGATGCATATCATCCAGAATTCTGCAACTCGTGCCCTCTCCCGCACTAGGCTCAGTCACCCATCATCCCGGCCTGCTCCAAGTCCCCTGCCCAGCCCGCAACAACATTGGCAGTCGTACCTTCAGCCTCTCTACCCCCACCTTCTGGAACTCCATCCCACATTCCCTTTACCTCACTGTCTCCCTTGGCTCCTTCAAGACACACATCAAGACCCTCCTCTTCGACCGTGCCTTCGGCCACCCTCTCTGCCCTCCATCCTCCCTGATCCCAACTCCCCCCACCCCCACCGCTCATCGTCCTCCCAACCTGAAAGGCATTTTATAAATGTAATCTTGTATTGTAATGTATGTTATTTGCAGGGACCCTATGGCGATTCCAATGCTATGAACCAGGAATGAGGCCACGCGTCGATCCACAAAAAGCTGTCAAACCTTTGGTGTGTTCCAACCCCCTCCTTGTGCTAATTGACACAAGGAACACCCCATTAGACTCCAATATTTCTGAATATATGTTAAAAAAAATACAATTATGTTTTACATTTCACCGTCATAAACCTCAAACCACACAGAAATGAGAGCCTTGTGGTCGAGGCTGAAGGTCAATTGTTAGATAAAACTGGTTTCTGCCAGCAGATAGCCCTGGAGCAGTGAGAATAACAGGTGTCAGTCTGCATCTGTGTGTAGTCCTCTCACCCGTGAGTCTGAAGGTTGTCGGTTTAAGCTTTACATCAGAAATTTTGAGCTCACGGTCTAGGCTGACGCTCCAGTGAGTGACAGGAGAGTGCTATATTGTCAAGAGATACCGTCTTTCGAATGCAGCGTTAAACCGAGGCCCTGTCTGCCTGTTCAAGTGGACGTTAAAGATGGCTTACCACTGTTCAAAAAGAGAAGGGAGTTTCTCTCTCCCAACAGTCCTCCAGATAAATCGATCGCTCACTTCATGGCTATTTGTAGGACAATGCTGTATGCAAATTGGCTGCCGCGTTCGCCTACAAATACCCAGTCACTACACACTTTACAGTAAACCCTGTGCCGTGCTGTGAGATGTCCTCCTGACATGAAAAGCGCTTACAAAGTGCAAGCATTATTATTATCATTATTATTATTAGTCTAATGAAGATTAATTTAATGTAAAATGATAATAATTGATGTTGAATCGCCTCTGTAACTCTCAGCAGGGATACGGCTTCATTCACAACTGATGAGAGATATCATCCTGTGTGACTTGGTGAATTTACAAATCTTCCATCTCTTTGCCCCAACCTCCCCTCCAGGAGACAGAGAAAGAGGTGGATTATAATAATGTTTGCATTTGACGTAATAATGTTTGCATTTGACGCGGCACCTTATTATATCATATCATATCATATCATCAAAGTGCTTCATAGGATTTAATGTATAATGTATTAACTGTATTTCGTAGGCAAACGCAGCAGCCAATTTCCACACAGCAACGACCCACAGACGGACAGGAAGTGAATGTTCGATTTTATCTGGAGGATTCTTGGCCAGGACAACACCGGGAGAGAAAACCCCCCCTTTTTTTTCCTCTCTTCTGATAGTCACAGCACACTTAGTGGTTATGTGTGTGGCTTTGATAGAATAACTCACCCCTCTCAAGTGTGAGTTGGTGCAACGAAATGCGTGACAGACGGTGAAATGCGTGAGCCTAGATGTTCAGTGGAGAGTGACCATCGCGGGGGTAACCTGCGGAACGCGAGATGGTTATCGCGGTCACGCAACTTTTCCTTTCCTTTTCCTTCTGTGCATTTCCTTACTCAGGCAAAAGGGGCTCCACCACTGGAACGGTCCAACACAGGGAAGGGCCACAATTCCATTGGGCGCAACACGCATCGATTGTCTCTGGGAATCATGACCTCTTTTTTGGGATGGGGTCAGCCGGGAGTCTGACACGTGCGGAAACCCATCACTGTGCTTAAGAGTATCCAAACCAAACTGAAAATTCCGTGCATCCCACCTACACGTGGAAATCCCAGAGATAGATTGTTGGAATGGAATGCTCTCTCTATCCCTGGAGGGACGCTCCCTGTTTACATAATTCCGGAAGGTATTAGGCGCAGGTTGGCAAGAGCCAAGGCTTGGGGACCCCAGAGTATGCGTTGGGGTAACTATTAAGAGTCTAACCAACTAAAACCACACAGCTTGCCATTGATACCACTGTCTGGCAAGCTTTCCCGCTGCTTGTCCAGCTAGGACCACCCTACCCTGTAGGGATTTGGCTTGCAGGTTTAACAGAAGCTGAGTGGGAGGATTCCCTGCACCCAGTGACTGGTCTCAAATGGAATGTCCCCATGCAGCGACACACTGCCAAAGGTGTTACGCATTAACTCTCCCCCGACATTGATGCCGGGCTTGGAATGGCGGGTTGAGGGAAGAGTTAGGCAGCAACGCTCAGCAGCTCAGCTCCACTCGCACGCTCTCATACTGCTGATTGTCAGAATGCCCGGACTGCAACAACCCCCCAAACCTTCATCAGCCCAGTCAACCATGGCTGCAATACACTGCTCATGTAATCAGCCGTTCACTCTGTAGCTGTCAGTGGGACGTTGCTGTGCACAAATGGGCTGCTGTGTTCGCTTATAAAATACCATGGTCGCTATACTTTACAGTAAATATTATGAAGCGCTCTTGACGATGTGATGAGGCGCTGTATCAAATGCACATATTATTATTGTTGTTATTTATGTTTTCTCACTCAGGTTTATCTGAAAAACGAATCAAAAGAAATAAAGCAATGACATCTAAATGACAGCTCGCATTTACACACTCCTTCCAGCTATCACCCTCTTGAGGCGCTGTAATCGATCAGGAGTGTTTGGGGGGGAGAGGAAGGGAGGGTCGTCAATGCAGGCGAACGCGGTAGCTGAGATCACCGGCTGCATCCAACGAGGAGATGAGCGGTTGATCGGTTTAAATGAGGAAGGGAGAAAAACTCCACGTTTCTGATAGCAGCGAAACCCCTTCAAGTCGACCTGAATCACAAAGCAGGCACTGAAACCCAGATCTCTAAAGCGAGTAGCAGGCTCTCTCTGTACACAACTCATTACCACAGCACAGGCCTCTTAAATATTACATCACTGCAAAATCTTGGCCAGTGTTTCACTGCATGAGTGACGCGCTGCACCCGATTCCCTGCGTGCGTTCCGAGGGCCAGCAAAACCCGGCAGCCTGCTCGTCGCTCCTTAAAGCGATATCGTCCTCCCTGGTTGTTGGGAAAGGAAGCGAGCTGGAGGATTGTCGGCCAGGACACCGGGAGAGAGAAACTCCTTTCTCTTTTCGAATAGCACCGAGAGATCTTTAATGTCCACCTAAACGTGCAGACGGGACCTCGGCTTAACGTCTCATCGGAAGGACGACACCTCCGACAATGCAACATGCACTCCCGTTCTGCACTGAAGTGTCAGCTTAGACTGTGTGATTGCAAGCTTCTAGCAAAGGAGTGAAGGGGGCAAATTAGCAGCAATGTGTTTACACAGAGAGTCGTTGGGATGTGGCAGTGAGAGTGAGCGAGTGACAGTGCGGGGGCAGGACTGGCAGTGTCATCTGCTGCAGCACAGAGTGCTCACCTGGCCTGTAGCCCGGCAGCCTGGATCCATTCCCACCCTACACTCCTTGTGCAAATGGTAATGTTCCAGCGAGCACAGAGGCACCTCGCACTACTGGCCCCCTCTCACTATTAGCCCCCTCGCACTACTGGTCTCTCACACTGCTGATCCCTTCACACCAGTTCCTGGGGCGTTGGATCAGAAACTGTATAACTTTAGACTTGTTGGATTCTTACAGTTTTTACTGGGTCTAAGAATAAAATTCTGGACATTGAAATACTGAGATAACAGAATCACTCAAACCCGGTGGGATTCCTCTCCCCAATAAACTCCCTGGGACTAAATCCTAATAAAAATAATAATCCTTACATTTGATACAGCGCCTTGTCACATCATTGAGACGTCTCAAAGCGCTTCACAGGATTTACTGTGCATTTCGTGGGCGAACATGGCAGCCAATTGCGCAGAGCAGTGACCCACAAACAGCCGTGGATTGAGTGACCAATTTTTAAAAACATTTTGGAGGGATTATTACCCCCGGAGAGAGATCTGCGAATTACTAACAACCGGGTACCTGCTTACTGCTAAGTAAACAGAGGTGTGTGGAGTAAGGAAACTTGCCTAAGGTTTCACCCCGCCCAGGAATTCAAGGCAAACATGCTAAGCACTACACTACAGGACACCACCACTTTCTCCCAGGCTTTGTGATCAACACCACTGGCAAAGATGCCGGGAGAACATTTTGAGGTCTCCTTGGTGGTGGCGGGGGTGAGCTGGAGGGAGACTCCTGGGGTATGGGGGGGGGAGGTAGCAGAACAGGGTCTCCAAGGGGGTTGATGTAACCAGCTAAGCCAGACTGAGACACAATGACATGTGTTCTGTGAAGGATGAACTATTTGCCTTTGTTGCCGGTCACACCAGAAAGCAGACATGAGAATCCACTCCTCTTCCAAAGACCAGCAAACAATGAGAGAGGTTAGACCCCACCACAGGGCCATAGCTATCCAAAACAAACTGATATCCTTAACTTCATCAATATAGATCTATTATTTTCCTCAAGGTCGGTGTGGGGAAGAGCAGCATATTTTAATTTTGACCGGCTTCCAAATTAAGACAGGCTACACTGGAGCGTCAGTCTGGACTGTGAGTCAGAGAACCCGACGTGGAGGCCAGAGTTGCTGATCACTATGATGTACAAGGTGTTCACAAAGTCCTGTTACCCCAACCCAACTTCCCCCCCCCTGCCGCCCATACCCTTGCGTTTTTCTTACAATGAATGTTTAGTTTCCATTGCAGATGAGCGGAGTGTAACAATGTCTGACACCAGTAACTTCCTCCTCACCGACTCCATCCACGTAACAGAAGATGTGGCACCGAACGTGGTGACGGATCTTTATCTGCCGTAAAAATGATGGCGCTCGCTCCCTCCCTCCCTCCCTCCCTCCCTCACTCACTTACTCACTCACACAGATCCTCTGGACACCTAAATACAGGTAAACACTTGTACTGAATAACTACTTCTAAACACAATGGTCATCATTCTTAGACATGTCGCATTTGTTGGTCAGTGCGCTGTAGAAATGAATAATAAATAAATGGGGTTAACAGGGATGTGAACACACTGGTAGATTTGAAGTGCACTGTGAAGCACACGGGTAGGAAACTGAGGTGGCTCACCTGTGGATGCTGTTAAAAGGAAGAACATTCGTTTCCAGTTGCCCGTAGCAGCTGGTTTTGGCTTCAGGAATGTAGCCGTATTCGTCCATCATTGCGGAAGCAGCGGTCGTTATTATCCCCAGACCATCACGCACTCTCTCCTGAAGCAAGTAGTCCCACTCGTCGTAGGAGACCGAGATTATCCCGGCCGGGAATTCACTGGGAATGATCTCCGTGTTGCCGGTGACCAGGCTGGGCACAATCCAGACAAAACCGTAGTCAGTGAGGCCCAGAGAGCGAGCTTCCTCCAGAATGAAGACAGCTTCATCTTTGGCGCAGTACAAGAGAATGACTGAAGACTGAATCTTCTTCAGTTGGATCTGAGCCTTTGAGTCGCCTTCGGTGGCATCGACTGTGATGGTGTTGACCAGCTCCCAGCCAACAAAGCTGTTCTCCACTGTGTTTTTCAAGATACTAATAAACTCGCCGTAGCCCGGGAAGGTGCTGGTTACAATGGAAAAGATGTGCCAGTCATACTCCTCCATGATGTTCAGCATCACCATAACCTGCTGCTGGATGGAGGCACCAAACTGGAAGAAGGTGGATTTCAGATCCTGTGAAAAGGGGAGAGCAACGAGCGAGGTTAATGAGCTTCAATGAATATATAGCCATCGATTACAATCAGCATAAAGACGCTACAGCAAGGCATCTGGGCTAACATTGCTCTAACATCACACCACAATCATAATCCACTTTACAATCTATTCTGTGAAACGCTTTGGCATCTCTCCACAACGTGATAAGGTGGTATATCAAATGCAAGGATTATTATTATTCTGTTGATAGCATTCTCTGGCAAGCTCTCCTGCTGCTTGTCCAGTTAGGGCCACCCTACCGGTTAGGGCTTCATCTTGCACGGTTAACAGGAGCTGAATGGGATACCTCCCTGCCCCGAATGACTAGCCTGCCCTTCCAAGTCCTGCCGTTGAGCCAGGCTGGGCTGTGCTGTCATCAGTAGTGCCCTGGAGCACTGCGGACCCACTCAGGAACTGCATACTGTTTGTGGGACATTCTGTTCACAAATTGGCGGGCGCATACGCCTGTGAAATACATAGTCACAACATATTGCAGTAAATCCTGTGAAGTGTTTTGAAATGTCTCAACGATGTGATAAAGCACCATATCAAAGACAAGGAATATTATTACAATACAAATTTATAGTTATACAGCGCCTTTCACATTCGGAGCACGTCCCAAGGTGCTTAACAATCAAGACTTGGCACCTGAACTGGGGTTGATGTAAAAATTATAATAATAATTATTATCATGTAATAATTTAACTATGATTATGTAAAAGGGCATTTAGGAGGAACTGCTTTCTGCTTAGGGAGTGAGAATGCAGAATGTGTTCGCAGGCTCAGGACAGAAATTCACATCCTGCGTGAATATTTTTTAAAATGTCAAAAAATTAAATATTGATTTTTATTGTGAATATAAAGCGAGTGGATGCTGTAAGCCAAATACACAGGCAGACGGCCCTAGGGGAACAGTTTTTTTTTGACAATCCATTATGATAAAAACAAGGCGCTCAAAACCCTTCAGGAAATAATGTATTAACTGAGTTTATCCCAGGGCAATTATTGTAAACTCTGGTAAAACACATTGCATTTCTTTTCACTCCACACAACACCGCAGGGAATATACGTCTAAGAATTTTTTTAAAAATTCTGCGCAATCTTAACTTTTAAGGTCCTGCAGGCCTTTGAAGCTCCGGGGTAAGTGCTGTAGCCTGTAAGATGTTCTTTCTTAAAAGTTATCATCGCGCAAAATTATGTAAAATTCTTCAACTCAGTCTTGATGTGGAAGTCGCTTTTCCTGCGGTTCCTGAACAGAGATCGGCTTCCAAATTAAAACCCATTTCAAGAACCTGTCGTGATTAAAAATTGAAGATAAACGGTCTCGCGGGCTAAGACTAGCTGGAATCTCAGGCCGCACAGTGATGTTCTGCACTTGCAAACTTGCACAACCCCCACACCTTCCCCCCCAGCCCTCCCTCGCCTCTTCCCCAATGAAGTTGTATTTTGTAGTCAAGCATGAAATAATGGTTTAGAAATGTTGCATTGTTGCTGCTTACAACTAGGTTGCGTTACTGCCCAGAATCAGGCTGCATTACTGCCACCAGAATAAGGCTGGGTTTATTGTAGCAGATTAAATGTGTAGCACACTGGAAAGAGCAGAACTAATTTGACTCCTGCTGTTATTTTAAACTGATAACAGCTCTCATATTATTATATCCCTTTCAGGCACATTTGCTTAAATAAGTAAAGTGACAGATCCCATTGCAAAGCCCTTCATCTCAAAAACCATCTCACGTCTCGTTAGAGCTTTCGTCTCTCATGGTAGTGAAAAGGATCAGGCTGTATATTCCCATTAAAAGTCACATCTCGATTCTGATCTTTCAATCCTGCTCATTCTGTAAAAATCATTATAACCCTTGTAAATTTATTTACCTTTACAAAAAAAAGTCAAGCTGATTTTATCACTGAAACAGCTTTGATTGAATTATAGAATATAATTATTTAAGCACAGAAGGAGGCCATTCAGCCCATCGTGCCTGTGCTGGCCCTTTGGAAGAGCTATCATATCAGTCCCACTACCCCCACTCTTTCCCTTTTGAAAGCTGTTATTGAACAATTGGTCGATGTAAAACTCTGATTGAGTGAACGAATGTGGACAATGTTATCATGATGGTGTTGCACCTTTCAGTACCAGCTGCATGTCACTCCCATGCAGTGCTGGTGTGCTGCATTGTTGGAGGTGCCGTCGTTCGGATGAGATGTTACACCGAGGTCCCGTCTGTCTGTTCAAGTGAACATTAAGGAGCCCATGACATTATTGGAAAAGAGAAGGGAATTTCTCTCTCCTTGTGTCCTGGCCAACAATTCCCCAGATAAAATGGGTCACTCAGTGCGTGACTGTATGTGGGACACTGCTGTGTGCAAATTGGCTATTGTATTTCCCGTGAAGAGCTTTGAGGTGTCCTCCTGAGGTGAAAGGCACTGTATCACATGCAAGGATTATTATCAATTAGTTTAATTAAATTATTAATTAACTTTCATTGGGTGAGGCTCATTTTCGAAGTTAGCCAGACAGTTGCAGGACGAAGATTGATGGGAATGAGGAAATGTAGCGTCACGATCACGGGAAAGAATAAGTAGGAGAAGAATGTCCAGAGGAACAAAGAAACAGTAATATCAATTTAAACTTTGAGCGTGCAAAGGAAGGTTAGAATAAAGAGAAACAGATTGGAGCCACTCAGTTCAATTGACCTCATTAATGCTCCTTAATGAACATTGACGTTTAATGAAAACAATAATAATGCTTGGTTTGATCTAGTGCCTTTCATTCACGAGGACATCTCAAAATCCCTCACAGGATTTACTGCAGAAACACTACAGTGGCGGGGGTGTAAGTGTAGATTTTTGAGTACAAATTCCCGACTTGGGGCTTCGACCAACAATCTTCGGACTCAGATGTGAGAGTTCTAGTTCCCGGAGCTGAATGTTATAAATGAACATTGTTACTGAAAGAAAAAAAGCATTTTTTTTTCAAAGTTCAAGGCAATTGTTAAATAAATTGAATTGCTTTTTATTTGTGGCGTAAGACCGAGAGCTAATCAAAGTCCAATTCAAAAAGGAACAGAGCTCTAAATGTTAAACTAATATACGGCTGACATTTTGTACAAAGGGGACTTGGCCTTTTCGGTTGAACTGTTAAATGAACAGGCTTCAACAGCTGAATAATGAAATCACCATCTCAGAATCCTAGCCTGCGAGAGTATATCACGAAATTTCAGATGGAATTGCAGAAAATTCTCAAATTCAGTCTTCCTTTGGAACGTTTTCTTAAAACGAAACCGCTTAAAAATTAAGCGCAGATGTGAGGATTTTCTATAATTCTGCACCACCTGAAGTTTCAACACTAAATGGTTTCATAGACTGAGAGTCATCGAAATTTCAGGTCTCTTATAATAATAATAATCATTACATTTGATATAGTGCCTTATCACGTTATTGAGAGGTCTCAAAGTGCTTCACAGGATATACTGTACTGTAAAGCGATGTGACCCTGAGTATTTTGTGGGCGATCGCATCAGTCAATTTGTGTACAACAACATCCCACAAACAGCCTTCGAGTGGCTTATAAAACATTGGCAGAAAGCTCAGCTTGCCAAAACTCTTTACTGAAGAAACTTAAACCTTCAGTGGCTTCATGTTAGTAAAATAACATAGTTAATAACAGTGATTACATTTAATAGTGTAGCACTTGAGTGTTTATGCGTGTGTGGGGGGGGAGGGAGGGTTTTGAAATGTGCCTATTAAATGAAGGAGGTTAGTGCTAGGGAATGAAATATCAGTAACAAACACATGGGTTAGATATAGAATAAGGCACTAATTCTCTCCAATTGGTACTAAAATCCTGTCGGGATCTATACAGTCACCAAAAAGTCATGATACCATTACAAAGTCTAATAGGTCTTAAAGAAATTATGATATTTTGGTTTTTTTTAGATAATAGGGTAGATATCACGACTTTTTTGGTCACTCACCCTGTAGAATGTCTCTATTGATGTCTCTATTCATTTTCTTCCGCAGACTGTCGAAAGAAACTTACAGAAAACGGGCTTCAAAATCTAACCCGAGTTTAAGAAATGTATCAAATTCTGGACGCTCGGAAATCCTACATCAATAGACAACCTGGACCTGGTTCGAATTTGTTCCCAAATCTGGCCTCACACCAGCCAGTATAACAGGCTTTTCCTTACACCTCAGCAGGTCTAGTCACAGCATCACTGAGATGTCAATTAAAGTGCATGTTCTGTGCTGCAGGCTTGTGCCTATGGTTCTGATTGTCCAAACCCAATTCATGTAAGATATTGGTAGTCATTAGAGAGAGAGAGAGAGAGACTTTTATCACAGTAATCTCAGATGTGCTCCCCCATTGAGGTCTACCCAGTTACGCAGGATCAATCCAAAGCTCTGAATCATGTTCCCATTTCAATAACTTTGTTAAATAAATAAATAATTCACAATTGTAAAGTAACCAGCACAGAGCAATGAGTAAAGCCACAGAGGAGGAGAACCTTGCATTAAATCTGCTCCGAGCACAGCCACCAGGCCTGTTCAACTTACACTTTGCTCCAACTCCATTAGTGTTTTCTGGAGAGCTGCAGATCTTTAATGAGTCCCTTGAGGCAAATCTGCCTGAAATTCCACCTAGACTTAGTTTCAATTCAGCCTCAAATAAGAACCTGTATCCCCCGCCAGTCTTTTGAAGGAATTTGGAGTATTCCTTAACATGTTCCTCATCTTAACCAGCATGACAAACATTTTAGGGAACAATGCAAATGTTGCCTTCCACCCCAACTTAATTCTGATTTTTGTATCGTTAAAGAGGGGAAGTGGTTGATTTGTTTGCTGAGATGGATTTTTTGCATTGCAATGACCAACAACAACTTGCACTTATATAGCGCCCTCCACACAGGGTAGTGTCTCAGAGCGCTTAACAGTGGCAGAGCCTGACTCCGAGCTGGGGGGGAGGTGTCTGTAAACAC